GACCAAATGAACCAGCGCTCGGAGAAGTCCAAGCATTTGATAACCACAGATCTCAAATACAGTTTGTAGACTCTGGGATCAGCTCTTTGGAAGCCGTACAGACCTTCCCCAACGGGTGCCTCAAAAACGCGGCGGAACCCAATAATACGCCGCAGGAGCTGCGTCCGGTCGTGTGAGTCTACAGCAGTACATACGCTGCCGCTACAGTCGCATCTGCCTCGAAACGATGTTCTGTAGTCTTTGTCACTCTTCCAACCAGTCTCGGTTTTGTCAGCACATTCTTGGTTTTTTTCCAACTTGACATACAACACCGTTGTACCGCGTCCTCCGAGAAGCTCCTGACCTGCGACACACAAGGCCTACACTTCCAACAAAGTCCTGGCTTTCGTAGACGACGTTGGCGATGCAAACCAGTTTCCTGCCCTGGACGAGGGGGGGCTATGTGCGGCACCCTCACACCGTGCAAACGTTTGGCTTGCTTGCTACAGCTGTACAATAACACGAGCAAAGGATGAGCATAGACAGGAGCAAGGACCGGAGAGAAGGCCACGCAGCGCCGACGCCGCGCCGACGCCGCGCCATGCCAGGGTTGGTGGACTGCTGCCGCGATACAGACGCACTTGAAGCGTCGGTGGCTTGACAGGTGGTAGGAGCTTTGACGGGACGTCTTTTGGATATGTGCGGCGGTCCCACGGGTGCCGTGGTGACCCGTCTTCGATCCTCGTGTGAAGTCCTCACAAACCACGTGAGCTCGGGGTAAGGACGTCTGTGAGATTGTCTGAAAGGAACCCAGCCAAACATATCATCTGCACATGTATGTGTTCAGAGCACACAGGCGGCGAAAGAAATAGTACCTACTCTGGCAACGGGTTCAGACCTCAAATGACCTGTGTTACAATTTAGATTGTTGATCCCATTCAGGCCCGGCATGGGTCGTGAATACGTTGGATGTGCCGCAGGTACGGAACAATACAAAATTGAGGTTTGCATGGGTGTGGCAATTGCTTCACTCCTGTCTGTGAGGTCGCTCCGCGTTGTTCTGTACCCCCCAAAAATAGTAGCTGTTGCTCAGGCGCAGTCGTCATGGTATCAAATGTTCCGATCTGCAATGGGCAATAAATAGCTCCAGCAGGCAGGCACATCCCGGGTGTATGGCCTCTTTCGCACAATGTCATGCGCCCTTTTGACAGGCATGGTCCAAACTCATTGGACGTATGGGCAGCAATCTTTTATTGGAACATATACGTGGCTATTGTGAATCCAGTGGGTGTTTTGGTGAAAAGGAAGATTATCACTCGTTTAGCTAAAAGACCCATCTATATCGGAACACAATCTTGTCGATAAATCTTGGCATTTTGACCCAAGATTTGCTCACAATATATCTCCGCCAAGATTTGCAGTATCGCGATTATGGGGGAAATATGTTGAATGTTGAAAAAGCGGCGTGATTTTCCTCTGATCTACTTGAAGTTGATAAAGGCGCAACGGCCACTTGGTTCACAGAAAATTCCACGGTGTGGCGAAAAGTGAGCACGACGCAGTCGTAGAAGGGGCGCCCCTCCCCCAGCTGTATTGCCTCAACACTATGGGTGGATACTAGCGGTGAGCGCCCGCCTGGGGTGCAAAAATAGCAGCCGTTACCCCCGATCTCATGTCAGGCGGAGAAACAAATTTGTTCCATTGCTGTCCAACTGAAAAAAATGCACATCAACCCGGCCGATGACACGTGCACGTATCTCACTACGTAGCAGGCGTACCGAGGTCAAACCTTCGGAGCTGTAATCTGCACTCACGGATCTGGTTCGGGGGCAACAGGATTGGGTGTGGGGTGATTCGATGAAGAGATGCGTAGACGCGTTGCACACGGCAGAGCTGTGTTGGGAGAAAGTTCCCCCTCTTTTTTTCTACTCCCAAATAGAGTATCTTTGAACGGTCCCTCCACAGATGAAGCAACAGTTGGTGTCACCAGCGAGATGTTTCTATCTCTGGATAGAAGCATCCCACTACCACCTCACTTGCATCCGAGCGAGAACAGTTAGTTGAGGTGGCAACATCGAAGGTTTGGCCTCGATGCGTCAACTCCGCAGTGACATATGTGAACGGGGTCGTCCTCTCTCCATGGTAGACATGTGTTCTCTGGTGATGGCGCACGCGGAACGAGCCTGGGCAACTACGAATTTGTTTCGCGCGCCTTGGTCGTTTTCGTCCGCTGTCGGCGCCCGTGGCGTCGACACAGTGACGCCAGGGTGCGTTGGAAGCCCTTGCGAATGTGCCACGTCCAGATTTCATGGCGTTATGGACGATTAGGTTGACTGACACATGGTGACCTCGCCGCACCCAGCAAGTTTTGTTAGCCCGCTTCAAGATGTGTCAACAGGCTCGTTTTGACAGGTCTTGGGTCAAGATTTGCTCGAAAGGGCAGATTTTGGGCTTTGAGAAATCTTGGCCGAGATATATCGGAAGATTTGCTCCCCATGAATCGTGAAACTGGCAGATCTTGGCCAAGATCAAGATTTATTGACAAGATTGTGTTCCCATAAATCTGGGTCTATAAACCGAAACTGCAACTTCCTCGCGCATGGTTTTACTTTGCGTAGCGTGTGCGCGATCGCTGATTTGTTTCTTGGCTGATGTTCTCGACGCCATGATGTTCTCCATGCCAGGCGTCCAGCGGATACCAACCTTGACGCAAGGCGTGGCTGTCAAACTGCCATTTTCTGGAATCTGCGTCGACCGGGGTGGTTGGCTTCAAATGAACCCCCCATCTGTACTTGTCTTTCTACGGAAAGCCACATACACGCATGCGAACAGCAAAATATTGATGGATTATGGGGGGTGTGGTATACTCAGGACATTAGCGGCGTCAACGGGAAGAGGCTTGCCTTCTGTCCTTCATAGCATGGCTGCAGTTTCGAGCACAGGATGGTCGAGTGTGCAAGTTTAACGCGCGAAATTGTGTAGTTGGAGTTGGGTTATGTAGAAGGCGAAACGACCCTGCCAAACTTGTTAAAAGAGGAACATTGGTGGTGGGAGGAGAAATGTGCATTCTATCAGCGGCATTTCCGGGATAGGGCGTAGTCGGAGAGCGTCATGATTCGAGCCCCGATCGAAGTTGGGCGTGTTTTCGGGGCGTGTTGCCCCCAGTATATAAGCGTATGTATAAGGGTTGCAGTGCCGCGTACACGGGATGGTTTTTGTACCTTGCTTTTCTTCGGGTACCAAGATTGGTACCAAGGCAAGCTTTTTGTTTGAGTTTTGGTCTCGACATGAAGAAGCGATTACTTGACACGCGTGTGCCTTGCGTAAGCACAAAACACAAAGAATGCGGTGTACCGGGGTAGCACCATTGCCAGCACCCGAGCTACCGCTCATGCTGTAATTTCGAACACGTACCAATGCCAAGCTAAAAGTATAATCGACGTCTCGGATTGACCTTTCAATAGTCCCAGTACGTGGAGGTGCCGAAGTACGCACATCACCCGGCTGCAGATTCAACTAATGTCCTACATGATGCCGGGATGCGTTTTCCTCTATCTGCTCGTACTCATTAATGTCGTCCTCCCGGAAACTTCCTAAAACCACGCCGCCAGTACAACCCGGCTTCGTCCCTGGTCGGAGAACCAAACATACCCGGCAACGGTTTCGACAAAATGGTGGGGGGGCAACCCCAACGCGGGGTATAGTCCTTGCCATGATGGCAACAAGCCCCTTCGCATTCTTTTCATCTTTCTGGATCGCGCATGCATATCCCTCCGCGTGTCTGCAAAACAGATCCGCTACCAGACAAAAAACTCGTTGCAACATTTCTTTTTGGGCGATGGACCCGATGATGGACCCAATAATCAAAAGAGACCTTTTGTCCCGGCCTGCTCGGCGACGGTAAAGAAAGCAGAGGCCACCTTTCGGAATTGACAATACCTTCAGCACCATCACTGGACCCTTTCAGCCATCCCAATCCACCAATAGACACGTTATAAATAGTGCCAACGTTACTTTCCCCCTAGATGTACAGCCTCTTTGTGCGCACACTCCATCAACCAAAGCCTCAACATCAATGGCACGTACGTCGTCACTGGCTCGTCTCCCCACAAAAATAAAGCTCGAACAGTCCCGGCCTCCTGCTGGGCCGATTATCGGGCACAGCATCCCTTTGCCACCAGAGATCATCTTGTCTGTGGGGTGGTGGGAGGGGGTTACTCCGGTCCAGAGAGGAGGGGGCGGCGTGGTCATATTGCGGGGTCACGATTAAACTGATGGCCACGGTCGGGCTGTCTACGGTGGGTGAAGACCAACGAGAGCGGGAGCTCTAACATGATGTTGCTGCAAGTATGCGTCTCGAACTTTCCAAGTTCGCCGGTTCACGTTGTAGGGAAATCATTCCAACCCACCTGGGTGAAAGCACCGCATGTTCACCCCAAATTCCTGCGCTGTCCACCGAATTACCGCCTGTTGGCTGTCGCTGAACTCGCCAGCGACTTCTCGCACGGCAAGCAAGTACTCGAGCTACGCCCTCCGTCAACACGGCAGGAGTGTTGCACCCAAGCTTCAGAGCGCCCTCTACTTCTTTGGGGAGTACGCTTGCAGCGTAAATTAGAGCCACTGTGTACTCAGAACTACTGGTGAATTCCTGTATGTGTACTGGGCGCCGGGATGACGGTTACAGCACCGACAGAGAGAGCCCCAGCGTTTCGTCAGGGGTTTCGCACTCGGCACCTAAACCCCCAACGCAACGGCGTTGAAATAGCAAGCACTATTGCCTCTCATTTTCAGGTCCCATGCCCCCTCCGTCTACGCTGTCCGCCCCGTTGAGCAGGGCTTGAGCTGTTGCATCCACGCACATGGGTCGCCTCAACAAGCCCTCGTACCCCTGAATAAAACCACCGGAGACGACTAATAAAGCCTAGGCGCAACGATTCCTGTTTGCATAATTGTTTCCTATGGTGTGTCCTATCTCACGTGCATGATTAACGGTTTGAGGAGACAGTCGCCGCACCCACCCAGTGCTTCGCAATGATGACTTTGACTACATGAAGTCATGCTCGAAACATTGCACGCTACACCAATCCAGGAAATACCGTCATCGTTGGTGTCGTTCCCCCTGGGAAAAGCGGATGGACTTTGCACACCCGGGGGTAAATAGGAAAAATGGGGTGGGGGGAGTTTTTTTTTCCCCATAAACATTCAATGGGGTGATATACCCCGGGGGGAACCGCAGAAAATAGACCATCCACTCTACTCAAGCAAGGACAAAAAACAAGAGCGAACGTTGAGGAGGAAAAGAAAGGGGGACAACACGTGGGGAGCCTTGGCCCTTCCGCCTACACCATAACGCACTCGTCTTGCCAAACGCCGACCACGGGTCTCGTCCCAAATGCGCTGAGACACCGATATACATGTAGTCAGGACGCGTCAGCTCTGACGCGTTGTGATGTTAATAATAGCCGTCTGCGGAATACTGCCTTGGGCGGAGGAGAAACGCCGACGGTAAGGGGGAGGCCACCGACGTCAAAAAGTCGCTTCCCCAGGACGTGGCAGCCATGCCCTTGCGTCCGCTCTCCGAATACTTGGTGAGAGATGTTGTGCGATGGGGCGTCTTGTCGCGAAGGCTTGTGGAGCCAACCTTACTGTACTGACGAACCAAAGCCTACTGAGTAGGTACGAGTGGTTTTGGTGGTACGTTCTCTTTACGGGACAAAATCTGACATGATATTCGTGTGCTCTTGACCGAGTCAACAATTGCTACGGACAACATACCCTGCATTGGTAGGATAGAAAAAACAGACCACCGTGCTTGCCGCGAGCGGCGAAGCGTTTCGCCAGCAAACATGTTTATTCCTAGGGCTCTCGCGTCCACGCTCGCCTCCCCGGCGTATCCTCACGTGATTCCTGTGCGGACTTGATCATGTCTTTACACACCTCAACCGAACATTGTCACGCAGGATCCATCCATATACGGGGAGGCGGCGGTTCCATTCCTCTTATCGCCGAAAGCCTAATCACACGCAAACCCGTCCCTTCGTTCGACGTGGTCACCCTACAATCAACCGAGACGACGACTTTCACCAAAGGCTACCGCAAACACGCCGGACGCGCGGGGCCGGTCGTGCTGTTGACGGATGACGGTGAACGGCGGGTTAGCGAGGAGGAGCTAGGTCCCTTCCCATCCGGTTTGGACCTGGGGCCCGAGGGGAAAGAGGTTCGGTGGTTTTCGGATAGGGAGATGCTCCGGTTGCACGGGTTCCCCGAAGCTTTTGATTTCCGGCCCTCACCCCACGTCAGCGTTGTGCTTTGGTAGGCAACCGCATCAACGTAGAGGTGGTGGCACTGTTGCTCGAGTTTATGCTATTCGAAGGAAACGCGCCAGGAGACTGGGGGGAACGATTCAGGGCCGAGCAGCGGCAGGTGTCCACGGTGTAAATCGTGCCCATGACATGCGCCGTAGTCATCGGGGGCGACTACCCCTCAACTTCTGTTTCGTGTGTGCGTCTTGGGCACGGGACGTAGTCAGGCAGCAAGGATGGGTATGTTCCGGGAGGAGAAATAGTGTACCAAAGTGCCGTGCGAACACGGTGACGCGAGCGGTAGAGCATAGGAACAGATGTACCGGAGGAATACAGAACAAGCAGGAGGGCGCGCCGATAATGCACTACTTCGTACGAAAAAAATCTGTTTCAATTCGCATTTGATGCGTCCAGGACCAGATAAGCCACACTACAATAGTGGCAAATTCGCGAGACCCATGCATATCTCTACACTGTTTGTTTCAATACCGCGAGAAGTTGAGCCACGCTTCCCACACAAACCTCAAAAACCCCTCAGCCCTCAGACTCCTGTTCGAAGGGTACAGCCTAGATTATGGGACTGCACGATCTGGCGTCGTGCCATCGAGAGACACCCCTAACGTTTCTCCAGGGAGCAGGAACGATGCCAACCCTCCCACCAATGTCAATCCGCTCGTCACGGCGAGCAGAAGGAAAACGTTACCCTCTAAGGAACCGTTCGCGAACTGTGCCCCAATCGAACCCAGTGTCCCCGCCGCCGACACCAGCCCCATCCCCGACACCCTCGCGGCAGTCGGAAACGCCTCTGTCGAAACGACATCTAGGGCATTCCATCCGCACGTGATAAACGCGTTGAATAGGCATCCAGAAACTACCACCGCTGCTCCAGATCCAGAGCCGAGAGCGAACACTGATGCCGCAACCGCAGCAAGCACCATTGATGCAGACAAAAGCGGTTTTCGCCCAACCTGAACGGGGCGTTTTCGGTGTAGGGGTATGGGACAGGGGGACAAGGGACGGGACCAGGGTTTCGAGTTTTGCTATTGGAAAGGCACCATCAAGCTTCCAGTGACAACTCGTTCAACAAATACAACTTGCTGCAACCTCTGCTGCTCGGTCGCCCCGGTGGTCTAGTTGGCATCCTCGACACCTTGTAGAAGCCAGGTCAGGGGTTCGAATCCCTGCGTAAGCGAGCTTTTCTTGCAAAGTGGGTTTTCCTTTCGCTTCCGCTCCTGGCCTAGTGGATAGCGCTACTTCGTGTGTACACAGACGGAAGAGAGAGCTGAACTCTTCTCGCATTAAAAAAATCGAAGGCAAAGTACCGCAGGAGGGGAGGGTAGAGAGGGTCTCTTCTGTGTGACCACGCGTTGGAGTAAACGGCACTAGTGCTGTGAGCGCTGATTTGAAGTGAAGGCAAAAAAAAAAAGCTCAGGCGACAATGCACACTTTTCATTTTGTCATGAGCACCAAAATTCCTGGAGATCGCACTAAAAGCCCCCACTAAAGCCCCCGAACGACGACTAAACAGCTAAAGAGCCGAAACGACCGGCGGCAAAAGAGCTGTTTCGTGATTGGTGCTAAGGAAGTCAGGGGCAACAAGTGCAAACAAAGGACACGGTACGACAGCGGAACATGCCTAATTATTGCACGTTCCTCCACTCACCTGTTCAACCAAAAAAATGGACGCTACATTTCCCGGGAGGTCGGAGAGGGAGTAGATAACAGAACACAGGTACGGGTTGGACAGCCCGATATCGGCAAAGACCTGGTTGTTCCACGTGGCCACCCCAAACGTGCCGTAGCTCAACGTGAACCACACGACGACCAGCACGATCGTCGCCCTTTGGAGTCTCGCATCGTTTCCCGGACAAAGGATTCGCATCACGCCCCCGTCACGCTGGTCCTGGGTACTGCTGCTTTCGCTGCCTCGACCAATTTCATCTTCTGGGTTGTTGATCATGGCAGAGGTCTCTGTAATCTGATCTGGAGCAATCCCTGATACAATTTGATACAACCTCCCGCCCAAGCTGCGCCGCCAGGATTGCCATGCACTTGCGAAGCTGGGGCCGGGTCTTCTAGTAGAACTATGTTGCACTAGTCCCGAAGGTAGATGGACGGGAGCATTCGTCAGCCGTTGCAAAACGATCCTCATCTCGTCGTATCGGCCTGCGAAAGTTAGGTACGATAGTGATCGCCGCACGAAAGTCCTCTCTATCATTACTGCAATGCCGTATCAGCAGAGATGGCTTCGGAATAACGAGTTTCCCAGCGAAGAACAGAGAGTGAATAAATGAAGGGCGCAGATTGACTAAGGTAAGCACAGCCTCCATAGCCTCCGCCATCTGACAGCCACAGATGATCTACGTCCCGTCCATTCAGTCCATACATCCCGACCACGAAAACGCCTAACATAGCTTGCTCACGGGAACTCAAACGAATGGTCGGCGGAGCCGTACATCGAATCCGAGAGCCCATGACAATGGCACATCGCAAGGTACGAGGTGTGACGCCCACAGGGTGATGTTGTCAACGGCGCAGCGCACGCCCTCAGGTTTCATCGAACAGATACGGGGCACCCAAACCAAGAAGAGTGCTACATTATGATCGCGTGAAAGAACATACGCTTGCTTTCTCTGCCGATGCCTGTGTTCATCGCAAACTCGACGTGCTTGGCTCTAGAGCATGTACGAACCGACAGATTGAAGACGCAAGAGGAAGCCTTGCGTGTCACGCGATCAGGATAAATGGAAGAAATCGCACATCAGCCATCTACCCTTACACTGGTCATTGCCGCAGTCTACCAACCCTGTCTGGCGAGAAACCTCGGTGACTCGGGAACGAAGATGAAGGTCAGCAACAGGGCTGCTACTGCCGGCAGGGCTGCAACCAATGCGTAGTGCCGCCAGGTGCCTCCTGGGAAGATCCGCCTCCCACCAAAACCATCGCCGAGCACTACCCACGCCGCGATTGCCGCAAACGCCGAGCCGACCATCCAGAAGCTATTCGGCAAGGACATAGCACGGTAAAGAAACGATGTGCATGGGTAGGGCACTGGGCAAGGAGGAGATGAATAGGGTGCACCATTGGAGCAAAGTTATTCAGGGATAACAGCACCAGCCTACTGTAAGACCGACACAGCGGTGAAGACGTTGGAGTCCAAAATCGCGAGGTTCCTTGTGTGCGGTTTTCTGTAGTACCCCACCAGTATCACGCCGTCAACCACTTCCACGGCCTGAAAGTACACGGGCTCTTTGGGTGGACACTAGAGCGACTCTCTCGGGACGTTCTGCAGGGGCGACAACTACAGAGATCTTGGCGGGGTGGTGTGTCTTCCCCTCAAATGATAAAAAAGCGACTGCCGTATCGTTCTTCCTAATGTCTATGTTCCACCGGATTGATGTCGCTGGGGCTTCGGCAGTGAAGCTTCTTCCATAGCCAACAACATGCTGCAAGCACCCGTCCGTGTTAGAAATAAGTGGTGCTACAGTGCAAGTAAGCGAGAAACGTTCGACCCTGGTTGGCCTGTGTACGCCCAAGCAAAACCATCACGAAATAGGTTATTGTCGAGGCAAAAGAGTCTTGCTGCTGGCACGGAAGCAACTCTTGACGGTCTGACAATGGAATGGTATACTGTAGATCGTGCAGATTATCAGGTATTGGATTGGAGAAGTCGGAATCAGACTCAACAAAATAGCATACACAATCATTGACCCAGCAGTGCGCACCAACTGCTGTGGAACTGTGCTCTGGTAAGCTGTGTTCCGAATGTTGGGAATTCGAAGTAGGAAGGAACGAGGTTACTGTTGCCGGTCTTACCGTATCGCCGAGTGCATTGCAAATAATATGGCATCCATCCTCACCATGCCGCACGGATGTACACCTTACCAAGAAACAAAAAAAAACTCCTCGGGGAAGCCCACTCTCTCACCTTGAGATGAGAGACACCGTCGCGCCTCGAATCCGAGTGGCAAACAACTCGGCACCGAGCG